GAAGATCTGCAAGGAAAATCAAGTGAACGACCACACAGCAGAAATTTCTCCCTGCATGCAAGGCCATCCATGCAGCTGCTTTTCAACAGGCTGACTCTGGTATGGTGGGAAGATGAGTGATCTTGTAGTAGCTGTGCTTCAGCTGGCGCGCGGTTCTCCCTGAGATGGTCCAGCGGAGTCTCTGGCTGTTCGGTCTGGAGCATTTGGTGTTGGCGTATTCAGCCAGGCATTTCCCGACCAGCTCTCTGACACACACCAGGTCTCCGTCTCTGACCTACACACACCAGAAATCAGTACACATGAGGGCATACTGTATTACTGAGCAACACTGGATTCATCGCTTCCAGTAGAACTCACATTCAGCAGGTGCTGCAGATTTTTCAGGGCCTCAGATATTTGGTTCGTGTGTTCAGGGTCGTGTTCTTCCTGGGCCTCAAAGCACAGCAGAGCCAGAGCAAGAAGAGATGGCTGTGGGGAAAAAAAAAAAAGATAAATGGAGATGTTTTAACGGGGTTGCTACACACCCCCTCACCCCAAGTTCTAATTCCAAGAATAAAAACTTCTTAGTCCTTTACATCTGTTATAAAATATAAACATGATGTGCATTTATTAGAGATGTCTGTTGAAAGGGCAGGGTTTGCATTTGGTGCCAGAGAAAAACTGGTGAATAGATGGACAAAAATAAATGAAAGAAAATAAGAATGGACACAGTGAAGAGATGGAATGATGGGTACATTGTTTAGACAATGGACCATGCAACAAAGTCTGGAAATACAAATATTTTCCCGACTCTTTATTTACATTCATACTTAAACAGATGTGAAAAAAACAGATCAAATTCCAGTTAAGACCCTAATGCTCATCAAATAACTGCTAGTGAAAAAAAAATGTTTGATAAAAACAGCAGATACTATTCAGTCTGTTCAAACAGAACCAAAGCCAACATTTAACCAACTCTGAAACCTTAAAACGGAAGAGTGAAACATGTTTAATGTGTCAACCGTTTCTCAACGCCAGCAACTGTAGCTTTTTTTTTTTTTTTTTTACTACAAATAAGCCACATAAATATATTATTACAGGAAGCTACTTGCTAACAATAGAACTTCCTGTAAATAATTGAGACTAGGAAACGTGGACATCCATTTTGAGCCTACCTTGATTTTGGAGAAGATGAAGGTGCAGTGGCAGGCTTTGAGCTGAGCCTCCAGTGTCTCAATGCTCAGTATCTCCCTACTGGGAAAATAAATCAGCATTAAAACACATTGAAAATCCCCACGCAAGAACAAACTTTGTCAACTGAATGAGGGGATTAAACGTAAATATGGCAATAAAACAAATAAAGTAAGAGGCAAATAAAGTACAAGAGTGAATCTGGGTTACCTAAATTATGTAAGCCACCAAATATGAATATGACGATTCAACTACATAATTACCAGTGACAAGGCTTTACCAAAACAAATTTACAAGAATAAAATGTTTTAAAAGCCTCTTTCTAGCTCCCTTTGTTAGAGGTATAACACATGCAAGCTTATGGTGAAAACTGTTTTAAATTTAGATCTATATGTTACAAACAGTCGCAATAAAAGTAGTTTTGAGTCCAACAGAAATTGGAAGCATTACAAGATTTTACCCAGATTTATGCAAAGCATACGTTCAAAGCCTTCATATGATTTTTACCAAGCTCAGACAAATTGCTTTGATGCCATTTATACTTTCAAAACAGAAATTAATAGCCACTCACAGTTTTGATGCGTTTCATGAAATGAAAAGAAAATGTGACTTTCAAGTATTTGAGTGAATAAAAAAAAAAAGAAAAAAAAAAAGGCCAATTTCAATCACTGTAAAACTTAAAGCTCTTTCATTACACAACAAGCCATTAAGGATGAGGTGACTATTTGTTCTAACCTCTCAGGGTCGAGCTGCTCCTGCATGTGGCTGTGAAACAGACGGAGGAAGTGCAGCGCCGTGGGGGCCTTCACTTTCCAGTAGAGCTTTTCCATGATGATCTTCTCCATCCTCATCATGTCAGACACCGTAAAGCGATTCTGACTAATGCGGATTAGATCGCTGGCCAGGGGCACATTCTTCTCATCTTCTGAAGACTTCACAGCCATGTAGAAGCAGCACAGGCCAACACATGATAGGTGCTTTGGCTGAATCTGTAGGTAACAAGCAGAGACCTCTTTAATGCAAAACTACTTCGTGGATTTTATGGGACTAATAATTAGAGATGCCTCAAGAAATTGTCTTGAGAGCAGAATCGGACCATTTTTTCCTTGATTAGTTCTTATTCTAAGAACTAGTATTGTTTACGAAAACAATACTTACTACAAAATTCCAATTGGTGTATCTCTACAAGTAGCATGACATGCCACGACAGCGTTGACGTAGTCACAAACCTTCATTACGGAGAGGAATCGATCGAGCAAGCTGACTGCCAACGAGAACGTCTCCGAGCTGAAGCCAAAGAACCTGCAGAGATACAGCAGGTCCTTCACCTCCAGCTCTCTCAGCCTGGTGGTCATCCTGAGGCCGTTGTCCTGGGCAGTCTCTATGAGCCTCAAGCCAGTCAGCTTGGGTTGGTATCGGCCCTCCAGATCCATCAGGCCCTTTACTTTTACCGCAAAGGCCTGTGCTCCAGTTACTGTGTCAATCATCTAGATAGAAAAAAAAAAGTGAAACAAAACTGAATGATGAAGACAAAAATTAACTCTGAATCCTGACTCTAAACACCCCCCAGGCAGGGGGGATGTTTGGGTTTTCCCAAAGTTTTCAGTTTAGGAACTTGGGCTCAAGACATTAAAATATATAAACAATGAAGACCAATTTAACTTTTTCAAGACAATTGAATAAAAATAGAAGTAATTGCAACAATTAAGGTAAAAAAAGAAACTATCAAATAAGGTTAAATACAAATTAACCAAATTAGAGATTTGATCTGACACAGCAGACCTAAAGGGGGGCTGCTTCCATATTTGTAAGTCATCCAGTAGCAAGACTCCCCCTCAACTAGACTTGACAGGACTAGAGAATAGCTAATATTACACGGATAAATATCAATCATGTGCGAAAAACCGATTTTTCAATAAGGCTTTAGTTGAACCCACGTCCTTTTAACTATCTAAACCCACATAGTTTTCACACATTTTGGTTATTTGGACTGGGGTCGGGCCTTGTCGGGGCAGGTCCTGCGACATGTCAGGACATGTCGCAGGTTGAATACAGATCCAGTTCAAGCCAACTCGGCTCAAAACACAACATACACGTCCAAACTCAAATACAAAGCGCCAACAACATTACTGAGATGGATATTAAAAACTTTAAAACAGGGAAAATGGGGAGTTAGAAATCATTCTGAACCGACCGTTGGCTGCCACAGCTAAGCTAGCTAGCTAGCTAGCTAGCTACCGATTATGTTTGGTGGCGTTGTTTATTATTCGGACTTCTACAATAAGAAAAAAGTTGAACGGTTTGTGACTTAAACTTAGCTAGTTTAATTTCAGTAATATACACAGAAAAGAAAATGTTAGTTTACTTACCTTGAGTAGTTTTTAATATGTTGGAACTAAAAGAAAAAAAATCTTCACACGCTCTTAGAAAGCGAGTCTAAAAAGTTACAAAACGCGAAAAAGTGTCGGTATGAACTTTAAGGAAAGAAAGTTTTAAGCATAGGTAAATTTATGCCTATGCACACCCCCTACCCTTGGCGTAAGGCGACGGGGAAAAGGACAGTTTAAGTAAATAAGGAGGAATAAATCCACACCATGCCCAGATATTCTGAGTTTTCATTGGCTGGTTACTAATGTTGTGTGTTTTAATTGGACATGTTACCAGTCACTCTAAACTAAGCCCCGCCCTTTATTGACTTAAAAACCAATCACAATTGAATGAAGCTTGACGGAAAGAATCGAGCTCGATCTTGTTCTCATTAGGACTAATATTTACGAGATTACTGTGAACTTTATCAATGAAGAAGCGACAAAGCATTTACAGTATGACTTGGTCTTTTTTTATTTTAATTTATTAAGGCTATCAAAGTTTCTGAAGTTCCTCCACATCTGTAAACAACATTTTTTTAAAAGATTAAAACGTATTCAAAAACACAAATTAAGGTGAATTTCTTTCTGGAAGCGCCTGAAAATATATTGTGTAAAACATTTATATTGCCCCAACCTGAAAGGAACGATCCTCCAAACCCTATTTACCCGGAAATATAGGCTACTGTGGTTTCCAGAACAATCTGGAAGGAGCCAGGAGAAACCAGATTTTGTTCTTTCCACTGCTCTTTTCAGAAATCACAACTATTTGAAGAAGCGAATGCATTTCAAAAGAAAAAAACTTTATCATATCACACTTTTAATCTGGAAGTGATCAAGCCAACACAAATCTGGCATCAGGATTTATTGGCATTAGGAGATTTTAATCCTGCGTTTATTCAAATCCAGTCTTTTAATGTTACAACAGCATACTCAACTTTTGTAGTTTAAAGTGTTACATGTTACATATACATCTTTAAGAAACTATGTAAGAATATAAATGTCTGAATAGCAAGACACCATTCACTGTTTTAAATATATATCAATATAGGTTCTGAACTAGTGTTCATTTAAAGTGCTTCTAAATCATAACATGACTACAAACAAGAAGTCCTTTGACAGCATTAGCACGAGGGTATTATATATTTCACAGTGAATTTTTTAACATTCAATTTACAAGCAATACAAGGCAAGAACAGGATGATTACACATTCAATGTGTCTTGCAAAAATATTCAGTTTTCAATATGTTATGTTACAACCACAAACTTAAATGAGATTTTAAGTGATAGATCAACACAAAATAGCACATGACTCTAAAGTTTAAGGAAAATGAAACTTTTTCATTTTCCTTAAATGAAAAAGGAAAATGACATGTCGCACTTTTTTTCATAAAAAAGTGCTTTTTTTTAATGAAAAATAAACACTTCTTATTTTTCATTAAAAATAAGAAGTGCTGCATGTGTTTCTTTACTCTAGAATTTTTTTTTTTATAAAATCCACTGCAACCAGTTCCTTCAGAAGTCATGATTATCTAAAGAGTCTGACTGATGTCTAACACCATCTCACTGCATATGGCACACTTTTTTTTAGAACATTAGTTAATAACAAAGATTCTTTTGCAGACAAAGGAATACAGCAGACAGAATGTTCTATCCAATCTAATTGAGTTTGAACAGGTTTAAAATTTTGATTTTTAGATCTGCAAAGAAGGCATACCACATAAGACTCATGGCTGTGATAGCACAAAGCTACTTTAGAACGTATTGACCTCAAAAAAGCTAAATACAGATGCACACCACACATATTTAATTACAAAAGAAATACAATTTGAAAACCATGTCTAAATTCTGTTCCACTGCACAACATGTACTATTTTGCATTGCTCTTTAACATAATATAATAGCATAATAAAAGATGCAGAAGTTAGTGGATGTAACATAATACATTTTTGGAAAACTTCAAGAAGTCTGAACACTTTTGCAAGGCACTGCAGTACAAAACACATTTTGGCGAAGCAGACGTCTTAGCAATTGCAGGAATCAAGTTCAGGAGCCATGCAGAGACAATGCCACAGCGTGTTGTTTAAAAGTGTGCAGATAAATTTGCAGACGACGTTGAAGACATCAGCTTGACTCATCTTGACGCTTGTTTTAGTTCTATAAAATCTTTATTAAACATTGTAAAAATAAAAACAATTGATTGTTAGTCTGATGTTTTCATGCGACAAAGTCTCCTAATTCAGGTTCCTTCCTGAGCTTAAGGAGCACGCAGAGGGGAGACTGAAGAAGCTAGAAATGGAAATACAAAAACAACATTATTTACTTTAAATTAGAAAACATTCTTTCTGAGTTTCTAGTAAAAGACAAAAAAGTTTTTTGTTATTATGTTCGGTGAAAACAAGAGTCGGAGAGGGAGCATGAAGTGGGTGTTTTTTTTACATAAGCAACATGAGTGAAGACAGTGAAATGTTTTAATCATTAGAAAGACAATGAGATGATGATGAGATAGAAGTTTAAGACTATCTGTAATCCTCTGTTTCTGTTTCACTTTGATGATGAGCCTTGACTTCCAAAACATGTTATTCTGCTCTTTGTAATAATCCACACTATAAAAATAAATGAAGAAAAAAAACAATCTAAATGTTGACAATAAACAACTGCTCTAGATATTTTTAGAAAAGTGACAGAAGCAGAAATTAAGACATCTTTCAAAGTTCTGCAGGATTCTCACTGAGAACAAGAGATTAATAACAGAGCTGGAGGTAAACACACAGTCATAGTGAGAATATAAAAAAAATAAATGTTATAAAATTCATCCAGACATGTTGTATTAGAGTTAACATTATGAACCAGTCAGTTACACTGAGCAACATTTTTACAAACAAGAATACAACAGCTTCTAGCACACATTTTATATTATTATTATTATTATTATTATTATTATTATTATTATTATTATTATTATTATTATTATTATTATTATTATTATTATTGTTGTTGTTGTTGTTGTTGTTGTTGTTGTTGTTGTTGTTGTTGTTGTTGTTGTTGTTGTTATTATTATTATTGTTGTTGTTGTTGTTGTTGTTGTTGTTGTTGTTATTATTATTATTATTATTATTATTATTATTGTTGTTGTTATTATTATTATTGCAGATAGAAAAAAGTCTGTTTTCCCTACACTCATGGTAGCTGAATTTTGCTTGGCGGTTCTCACCTTTATGTCAACTAAAAGGAAAAAAGAACAAAGAGGAAAAAAATCCCAAAAGAAAAATATGAAGTTTAGCATTAATAAAACATAAAAATCCATAACAGTATTAATGAAACTAAAGAGCAGCAATGTTTAGGCTCAAACGCTTCCGGATTTTCCGTTGAATTATTAATATACTTACCATATGCAATGTTTTCCACAATCATTCATGTTTCAGCTAGAAATGTGGGAAAAGCTTTAAAATATCTCAACTGTCATTGCAGAGATGAAACATCAAACAGAAGTATTCTGGATTTTCTCTGTGTGTGCTTTTCAGGCTAAGAGTTTGCTGTTGAAGTTTATTATCTTGAAAAAGCTTATAATCATAACATTATTGCTGAGCAATAAGACACAATAGTCTTAGAAAACGTAAATGTATTAATTTTAAGAAGGTAATGAATGATTTTCATTAAAAAAAACATTGACTTATTAATCTGGCTTTTGAAAAAAATCTGAATCTTGGACATTTTGTTTTCATTTCTTTTTTTTTTGTGAACTGCTTCTGTTCACAAACCTTTTTGACAGATTTTTTGTTGTTGTTGTTGTTGTTTTTGTTTGGCTCATTCCAGTCTCTAGTATCTGTGGTTTGTGCATTAATAATTCACCCTGGCATGTGATGTTTTCACCTGAAAAAAAAAAATGATACCAGCTCCATGTAGGATGCCTGGGTGTCATCTGTGCTTCACATGGCGTGAGCACTGCTGAGACAAGTCAAATGTAAACACAAGTGTCCTTGCCTGAGAGACAGTCTGGCAGGTTGGCCTGCGGAGACAGAAGCATCAGGCTGTGTCATGCAAGCTGTGACCCTTCCTACAGTGTCGGCATGCCGTGTCAGTCTAAATATGTCCCTGGATCACTTTATGAGTCAAAATGGCCTCCAGAAGGAGAGCATGGTAGCTTTATTTCCCCCCCATCCAATTAGGTCAGAGCCGAGCCAGTATGCAACGTATGTATGCCTTGCGAAAAATAATTAAGTGAAATTCAGTAAACAGCTTAAGGAATTGTGTTAATGTCACAGTATGGCGGCATCAAGTGACACGCTAAAAGTCATAACATACCGCGCTGTGCAAAAATTTTTATTTTCTATTGTAACTAGAACCGAACTAGTTAAGTTAAAATGTCATCTTTAAAGATGACACAAAGCATTAGATTTATTGGAAGCTAATCAAAAAGATGAGTAATGATTCAGGGCTTTTAACAGATAATCCAATTGTAATTTGTACTAAATAAAAACAGACTCACTTCTTTTTGTCCTTTTCCTTCTTGAGCGGCTGTTGCGAACATCCCTGCAGCGCTTGTCCCATCAGCGTTTCAGCTGCTACCTTCCTCCTGTTGAAGGCATTCATCTCTTCTTCCAGTTCTCGCCTCTTCTCCTCCAGATTCCTCTTTTCTTCCTGGTGCCTGCGCTTCAGCACTTCGAATCTCTCGTGAAGCTGGAGAACGGAAAAACTGACAGCTCAATACGAGACACACCCAGCTCCTTCATTTATTTGTGACATGTTCGTTCCTCGCCTCTTTTTCTTTTTCTTTCAGCTCGGCTTCCGTTTCCTTCACTTTGTTAACAAACATCTGTCTCATTGATTCCTCTCTGTGCTGCAGTTCTTTGAGGAACTCCCTTCTTTTGGCCTCATACATCTCCTGCAGGCTGGAGAACACAAACACAGTCCATGAACAAGATGTGACGCTGTGAGGCAGCTGTAGCAGCAGTTTCTGATTTCAGACTCAGCTTAGTCAGCTCATTGTAATGCATGAAGTCCTTTGCAGTAATGTAAAAAGTGATTTCTTCTGGTTTTGTTGTTTTCATGCCCACCCTGGCAATTTTCAGGTTGTCAAACTAATCTTAGGAGCACACAAATACCTGAGCAAAAACAAAATGCAGTTAGCGACAAAAATAGTGACCTTATTTAAAGAAACTGAAGAGAATTTATTGACATTCATCAAAAGATTACAAAGTCATCTTCAGGACTTTTATGACTCCAATCACCCACAGTGAGAAGAATCATCTCCCAACATTGAGAAAACAAGAAACGGGAATGGCCTGCCCAACAAAATTACTTCACGAGTCCAACAAGAGCCTCAATTGTCTCAGTCAAGTGCCTGAGCAATGAGAGACAAAAGGAAGCAATTGTTTTATCACAAATTGCTATGTTAGTCTGGACAGATTTTTCTTTGATGATCTCAATATTTGAATTTCACAAATAAAAAGCAAACACAAAAGAAATCTGAAGAAGGGCAAATACTTTTTTCACAGAACACCTTAATGAATCTACTGAAGGTTCAACCAACGCAGCCTGACGTCGACTTATGAATGAAAACAAAGACGTGGAGGCACTTTTGTCTAACATGCAACAAATCTAAATGACGGACTTTAAAACATGTACGCCTAACACGGCATTAACATTTTGTTTGTGAGATAAATAGTAATAAATCAGTGGGATGCGTTCAGTAGATTATGCAGCATACGTATGGAGTCCCATGACGTGGAATAAATCAGATGCTGTTCTCTAACACATTCCCCTCAGCAAAAAGCTCTGAAGTTCCCTCATTTCACCTGAACGACTGGCTGTCAGGGTCAGTGTCCTTGAAGCCCATCTCTTGCAGCTTGCAGCGGCGATAGAGTTCGTAGTGACGAGAGTGTGTTTGCTCCCGGAGATCATCCATGTTAACGCGCAGAAGCATCTCCCTCAGATGAACAAAGTCACAGTGCTCTTCGTTTTCCACTGAACAAACAAGAAAGAACCGTGCTGGCTGCTCGATTTTTAAAAAACTCCAAACATTCCTCTATCTGGTACACAGATTGTGACAAGATTTTGTTGTATAATAGCAGCAGAATTACCCTGTACAGCTCCCCAGGGGTACGACCTTGCTTTCACCATTCTGTTCCCTATTTTAACATCCTCCGTGCTTCCAACGACAGCAAAGGGAAGGCGAGCCTGCAACACAGAGAGAGAAAGAGGAGACTTTTAAAATCTGTAAATATTTATCACAGTAGAGTCGGTGTGATGCTGAAAATACCCGAGGCACAAACAGTCTAACGTAGTTGGCTAAGTGTTAACACAGTTTCACTCGTATGCTACTGTTGACTAAGCTGTACATTAAAAAGCAAATCTCTGAATTCATGCTACAGACCAGATAAATCGTAGAGATGTTCGTAAGGCAAACACAATGCATTGTAAAAAAATCTACGTCATTCACTGTTGGCCCCACATGAGGGCAGTATTAGGAAAACGTGGAATAGTCTGTTTGATGAGCTCCTCAAAATTGTAAAGCTGCTGTTGGTGGTCATGAACATTTGCTCTGGAGTGGACTACAAAAATATAAAAATGAACAACCAATATGTAAAATCTAAATTCAGAGAATATTTGTAGCAAAATGAGTCGTTCAGAGTATACTGAATTAAAGAAGAAGAAAAAAAGCTGAACTTTTGTAGCTCTTGCAGTGACGACAGGCTTTTAAGCATAAAATCTTTTTGTTTCCACTGTTACGTTGTTACCTTTTTGTTAAACTTCAATAAGTTGCGTACTTTTGCAAGGCAACATAACTTTGTACTGCTGAGTAAGCTTGTCTTTAGAATTGTTTTTTTTCAATGTTTGTGATGTTTGTAAAATGCAGCAACATACTTGTGCATTTAATCATACAATGTCATTTGTGCCTGCTAAAAGCTTAAAATTATGTCATCAGAATTGAAGACACTTTAATTTATGGGCTATAAGATAGAGGCAACATATTTTAGTCAAATCAATCAATCAATTTTAGTCATCAATCAATTTTAGTCAAATCAATGTTTAACAAGGCTCTAAACAGCACAAAAATCAGAACAAGTCTTAGGAATCATCCTTTTTTTCATCATCAAAAAATAATAGATTATTAGGTTAACTAAACCTACTGTGCAATCAGTATTTAGTAAAATTGCATTCACTCATTTTACTAAATAGCCAAAATAAGACTGAATATTGAAAAATATTGTTCATTGTGCAAACATTTCCCTAAAATTAAACAAGTCACATGTACTGTTTCTAAGACTCACATTTAAGGAAGAGTTTATCTCTCCAACTTCCTCGTCCTCGTTCGGAAACTGATATATCTGCACACCGTAGCTCTGCAGCTCATTCATGATCTTCTTCTTTAAGTTTCCCAGGTCGGTCTTTGACATGATGTCTGCCTTTGCAATAATGGGAATGATGTTGACCTGATCAGAGAGACCACAAGATGAGCCTCAAAAAGGAGCCGAGGAAACATTCTGACACTGGCTGTCATCGTCTCACCTTGCTGTCCAGCTTCTTCATCATGACCAGATCGAGAGATTTAAGGGTGTGTCCGGTGGGAGCAATGAAATACAGGCAGATGTGGATTCTGGTGTCATCGTAGTTGGAGAGGGAACGTTTTATTTTTAGCTCCTCTTCCAGATATTTCTCAAACTGGGCTTCGATGTAGTCAAGAATGGGTCTGCAGCTGCGAAACCAGATATAAAAACATCAACTCTGATATTTCGCAAGTTTTGAGCGGATTTCTTATTGTTATGTTAGTTTCCAGGGTAAAACTGCCAAAAATGTCAGTCTTTTCTACTTCCTGCTGCCTGATCCATCAGACAGGGACTGAATATGTGCCATATTTTCTCCCCAGCTTACATGCCAACACAATCTCCTTAGTCTAAAGATCTGCTGGCCAGCATAAAGGGGAGGGATTAGACGCAGACACTGATCTCCCCATGAGGCATTTCTAGTCATTTCTTTCACAGAAGTTCAACGTCATTCAACTATTTTACTCTCATCTTTCAATATAGTACTATGCTGTTTGAGAAGCATTGAAAACATGACACATGGGGTTATAAGACATGAGGAAAACCTTTCAAATAAACTTAAATACTTGGAAACATATAAATATGTGGTAGTCAGTAATTTAAACAGGATACGATGTACATTTAAAGATTTCTTAGAGTGACATCATTTGGGTTGAAATTGTCTTTAAATCTTCAAGGATGGGTTTTTAAGGACTTGAGAAAACCAAGTAAGTCCTTATTTCTTTTTCTGCAAAAAATGATAACATGCAGTGGTGGGACTCTTTAGTTCATGGGCCATAAGAAAAATGTCCCGGTGTGACAAAGAAGCAAAAAGAAAAAAAAAAAAAAATGGAGCTAATAATGGTTTATAATGTTGGTGGTAATACTTTCAACAAGGCACATGTAAAATAAAACAAGCATCTACTTTGTTAAGTCCTGTAAGTTTTTTTGTTATTTCAAGACAAAACAATTTCTATTGTGTTTCTTCTTCTACCAAAGTCAAGACATTCAAATATTTTATCTATTGTGTTATTGTGCATGTAAACCAAATAAATCTGGATAAGAAAAAGCTCCAAATACGGTGCAAAGTCAGGTGATTTGTTTGTTTAGTTTGCTGTTTTATCACCTAAAGAGCCGGTTTGGAAAAAAAAAAAAAGCCACAGCATGCACTGCCGTTTTTTACCTTTCATCCTTGTTGATCTGGTCTCCAAAGCCTACAGTGTGCACAATAGTCAGCTTCAGTTTGACAGTGTGCTCCTGCAGCTCGTACGTCTGCGATCGCAGCTTCACTTCTTGCTCATAATGATCAGCTTCCTCGTTCTCAAATGTTGTGTTGAAAAGAGTGTTGATCAGGGTTGATTTGCCTATTCCTGTTTCACCTTAGACACAAAAAAAGCAAACTGTGAAAACTTCATCCAAATAATCGACGTCTTAAGTAGTGAGCCCATGCTGTGTTGAGACGTACCTACACAGAGGATGTTGAAGCAAAATCCCTGAGAAACTAACTTGCTGACCACTTGATGAGGAAGGCTGTTGAACCCCACTTGGCCACTGAGCTCCAGGCTTCGCATTTCTTTATTCTTAGTAATCATATGCGGAGAAACAAAATAAGTCAGTGTAGCACTGTTTGTGCCAAATCTCCTCCTCGAACGCAGCTTTAAAATTTTAAAAGCTATACCCACTGAATGGACCAACACAATTGCATCTGTCAAATTAAAGTTGTCAGCTAAAAACAAGAAGGAGAGTAATTTCTAGCTTAGTATCTGATGATATTTCTAGTCTGATAATATGAATCAACTATGAAAATCTACTTCATATTTAATAAATTTAATAAATTGTTATTTTTCATTAATCAGGCCACTGTCTTACACTTATCAGAGATCAGGTTTGGGGGGTAACAGAGGTTTACGTTTTCCTCCTGGAAACCTAGACAGACAACCACAAAAACGAACAACAAGGCTTCTCCAGACCAAGGTCCTACTCCGAGTTCTGGGTTTGTTGTGTGACTGCAACTATTTCCAAAACCCTTTAAGTAGAATTGTCTGTTAATAAGAGGAGAATGGAGTGGCTATCTTTCAGCCAGATGACCAGCAACGAGTGGGTGTGGAGAGGTGCACTATGTTACTCGACAGCCAGAAATGGCCAAGCACTTATCCTGGCATCTCTGTAAAAGGACTTTAAACTGTAAAACGCATGAAGAAATACTTTAGAAATCCCTGCTTTTAAAACCTTGATATTTGTCGTTTTACTCAGTCGGTATATGCTCAGAAGTTTCTCCTTCAACACTGGATCCACCCGGGCGGCGGGAGGGATCTTGGCATCTTGCAAAAGGCTCAACATGAGGAGCAATAAGTGTTAAACACAGCAGCCTTCCGTTTCAGCCTCCCTCTCTCATAGAGAGACAAAGAGCTCTTTATCTGGAGGGTTATTCCACAGAGGACATCCGAGCTGATGGCCACCCTGGCACCCACAACCCCAAAATGACATTAAAACAAAACTACTGGCAACATTCGCAACGCAACTTTTTTCGACAGAAAACAAATCAGAATTGCGTTATGTTATGATGACAATATACATATTATATAAACACGGCATGCTGGTGCTCAAACTTGGCTGGTGGAATTGTTTTTTTTTTGTTGTTGTTGTTGTTTTTTTTTTTGCAAAGCAACGCCATAAGTCCTAATGAGGTAGTTAACATCACAACACAAAGAGGCTTATGCTTATCTTCATCCTCTTTACTCAGCCTCTTACAGCCCAATGTCCTGTTTCATTCAAACTAACCCTCTGCCCTGGTCATTCAGCACCTGTCAGAAGTATTAGATGCTCATCCTGGGAGCTGCTTTAATGCAAGCAGCACATTTTGGTGCTTAGGTAAGCTGTCCCCCCCAGTCCCCCTGCACGACTCGAGAGACTGCTCCAAAACAGAAGCATGTCCAGCCGTGTGATGACGTCTTCATCCTGATTCATTAACCACCGAGCTTTCTCAGCATCATGCAGCCAGCAGCATTCCGTCACTGCGTCGCCTTTCAGTATTTCTAATCAGCAGTCACTGCAGACATCGCACTTAAAGAGAGAGAGAGAAAGAAAGAAAAAAAAACATCTTACCTCATCGGCCGCCATCATCACAAGTGTCTGAGTCCAGGAATAATAATCAGCCTTCATCCAGAACCTGCTCCCCTCTCAGCGCGGCTGATTCAAGGCAACACGCCCTCTGTGCAGGAGGGCGGCATTACAGCACACTGCCCGCTTCACTGCTTCACTTCTCTGAGTTCTCCTCGCACCATGTGCAACACTGAGATGTGTTTAATGCTTTGTGATAGAATTGGGTCTTTTGTTTTATTTATTTTGGTGGGGGTTCTTTAGAAAGGGTGACCAGATGGGGGCACAACACCAAAACCAAAGGCAGAGGGGAGTTCAGGAGGTTTGTGAAGCTGCTCTTTGATAAAGATGATGGGACCGAGAGGACAAAAACGCACATCAACATAAATAAATGAATGATCTATTATTCACTTGTCTAAGACTAAATTTATCCCCACGAAACAACGTGACTGCGTGGGGGCTTCTGTAAGGAGGGCAATAAAATAAACTTAAAAATAAAACACATGTTTTTTTTAGCACCCTGTCCTCATAGGTGCCCTTTTATTATTATTATTATTATTATTATTATTATTATTATTATTATTATTGCATGTTTGTTAGTTTGTTAGTATGTTGAATTGTTTGCTCTGCAATATTTTAGGTTTGACACATAACAAGTAGGACCAAATAGTTCGTGTTTTTGTTTATTTGGGTTTTTGCTTCATCTTAACTCTCCAGGCCACTGTTAATACTAACAACAGTGCCGCTAAAATATGGATGTCAGTTCCCTTTCTAACATGGAGACGTCGTAGTTTTAATCTTGACTTTTACAGTCAGTTTTATCAAAAGTCAAAAAGAATGCAAAAGAGTGTTACACTATTTTATTGCTGGTTTATTCAAACTGAGACTGGGTCTAGTCAAAGTCCTGTTCGCATGGTTAGATTGTGCAACGCAAAAGCACGACGCCAGAAGAATGTAAAAACAATTTTACTAGTGCGTTTTAAAACGCAAACAGTCTATACACAAAACCAACAGAATAATGTAAATAAATAATTAGAGAAAACGCACCATTCCCCTACTAGACAGTTTTAACTGCAGTGTAGTTTTTTTCTTTTTCTTCTTTTCTTTAGTATCGTTGATCCCCTGCAGGAGCCCCCGGACCGGACAGCCTGTGGACGGGGAGTGTCCGCATATTAAACGGGCTGGACTGATTTGGCGAGGCGCCGGAAGCAGCAGGTTGTGCTGGAGGGACAACAGAGAGGACGGAGCGGGACACGCAGCGCGGTTACCCTCCTCATCTCTCACATGTAGCTGTTGGTTTTGTTTGTGTTTTGTTGTTTTTTGTCGCGCAGGAAAAGCGGAGCCATGGCCCTGACCCAGGAAGCCGTGTTGTGTTTTCTGCTGGAGCGCGGAGGCAAAGTGGCCAACTGTGAGCTGGTGAACCACTTCAGGAGCCTCATCCACGGCGGCGACCCCGCGGAAAAGCAGCGCAACAGGGAGCTGTTCAAGAAGCTGGTGAACAGCGTCGCTGTGGTCAGACAGGTCGACGAGGTGAAGTTCGTGGTGGCGAGGAAGAGGTACCAGGACTTTGTGAAAGAGGAGATGGATCCGAGCTGTGACGCGCGGCGCTCGTCCACTGTGAGCTTTTGTCACCGCGGCGGCGACAAAAGCTGCGCGGAGAGTTTGCGGGAAAGCAGGCCTGCCGCGTCCACGGCGGATGCGGCCACCGTTAAAGTCCTGAATGTGTCCGCAGATCAGGCGTGCGGAGCGAGCAAGTCTGGGGCTGTGTTCGCCGTCATAGCGGTCAGATCCCCGGAGAGAGACTCCGCAGACGGACCACGCTCCCAGGCGCATCAGCGGCGTGGAAACCCTGACAGAGCAGTCGTCAGAGTTCCATCACTCCCAGCTCTAACTTCTAACTCCTCATCTCGTCTGAGGGAGTTAGTAAAAGAGCCTCAGTGTTGGAAATCCAAGCACATTGAAGCCAAGCAGGCCCCAGGTTCTCCCCTGGTGAGGCCCCAAAGCAAGACCCTCAGGCAGGCTGATGATGAGTCTGTGCCTTTGGAGCCAATAGCCCATGAGTGGCTTGTTAAGTGTGCTGCTGGGTTGTGGGGACAAATATATGCTTTGCTGCTGCAGGACACACGCTTGGCACAGAAGAAGGATTTCATGTCAGGTTTCACAGCCTTGCACTGGGCTGCTAAGGACGGCAGCTGCGACATTATACACAAACTCATTGATGTTTCCAGCAAAGGAGGCACCTACGTGAATGTCAACAGCAAGGCACACGGAGGGTACACGCCTTTGCACATTGCAGCCATGCACGGTCACTCTGAGGTCGTGGTTGCTCTCGTGCAGCGCTACGGAGCCAGTGTGAACGAGAGAGATAATGACGGCAAGAAGGCGCTTCACTATCTGGGGAAAGGTGCATCGGCTGAGGTCAGGGCCCTGCTGGGAGGACAGCAGCAGAGTGAAGAGAAGATGGAGGGCGAGGAATACAAGGAGCACACAAGAGGCTTCAACACTATCAGCAAGCTGTTCCACCCTCACTTAGGAAAGAAACATAAGACTTGCAGGTTTGCTCATGAGTGGTAAGAGGGGCCACAAGTGAATCTGGGGATGTCACAACTATTAAGATATGGACAAAAACAAAAACACGATTCGATTTTGATTTAGATTTCAGCAAGGATGTCAAATCGTCCCCTCCTTCATTTTGTTGTGGTTTTGAAGTCAACGTTCTTTCAAGTTAAGTTATTTATTCTTATGACCTAGATAGATTAATACAACCTAATTTGTCTGGCTGTCTACTTCTGTAGCTGGTCTTCAGTGAGCTGCACAGACATGACACACGCAGCTTTCATGTTGGTGAAAAAGTGCGGAGGCGAAGGGCTGGATTAGTCTTTGATTTATACTGCAAAACTGTTTACTCGAGATATATGTCTGGTATATCATTTAAAGGACTTTAAACCCTTTTAGTGGCATGGTGGGAAAATTTGGGTGGATTTCAAACCTTTGTGTACCTTGATACAGCTAGTGTTCATGTTTATGCCTTGACTCCTAACTGTGTACTGTCTTGTACAGCTTTGTACAGTGTATCACTGGTTTAATAAGCGTACTATTTATGCATTGTGTATAATTTTGTTTTATTAGTATTAATGACTAATTTTCAACAAATTACATTACGTTTTTTGACCTAGAGTGTAAAATACCTGTAGGTATGACTTGATTTTATAGCATTGTTTTTTGTTGCTGTTGTATTTATTGACTAATGAACACTGACCATAAAAACACAGCAGGCTAGTGCTTCCAAATTACAACATTTTTAGAAAGCACACTGGATGAAAAACCTGCTGACTATTTTATGTCCTGAAGCATCTGAGGTGGCAACCTCAGATGCTTGAGTTTGACTCAGCAAACTCACACAGGAGCAATAATATTTTTCTAACTTCTTCGCTGGCGCGTTGACTGGAGTAACGCAGTAGTGGGTCGTACTGCAGGTGTAGGCCAGGTAACAGGGCTGAGCTCTATATAAGTAAGTCAACTGGCTCAAGTTGATGGTGACTCAGCTTTTCCGCAGAAATCATCACTTGGACTTGAAAACCATTCCAAGGCAAAGCAGGGACCAGACTATGTGATGTTATGGAGAGATTTTACCTAAGCCTTTAATTCCTGAGCTTATTCCTTGTGTGATGTCACCAGAGGCATGTGTGATCAAGCTTGCTTTTGGGAGCATAGAACTGTCAGTATTAAATAACAATTTTCGTAAAATAGCTAAACTAATAGAAACTGAATGATGTATCGGTGGCAAACAATAAATAAAATGATAAATAATAATAATCTCAGGTCGATTGTACAGACATTTCTGGAGAGTAGCTTTAAATTATATACTAATATAATAATGTAGATAATATTAGTCTAAACGACAGACTAACCAATTTTAATTGTGAAATAGTTTTTGTTGTTTCTCAAACAAAAAAATTTGTATTGTGTATGTATTTTGTAGCAGTTGATTTTTTTTTTCAGTTTAGTGTGATACACTTTAAAAAGTGCTTCTTCATTTTTTTCTAGTTAAGAATTTGTCTAAAGTGTAACATTATTAGATTTTTACAGTTTATTTGAATAAATGCAATTCGTCCTTTTCTAATGACCGAGCTTTCCTTCATTCTCAGATCAAATTTCCACTGCAGCAGGAATTTTCTGCTTCTTGTTTGTGAGCGCATGTGTTTTGTGCACTGTAAAAGTCAAATTTGTCTCTTTTGCTGACCCAGAAAATGAGTCTCTGAAGACATGAAAAGAGACACGGATGACGTCATCACAATCAAAACAGAAGCAGAACAATGTCCTCTTTGTAGTTAGTAAGAAACAAAGCCTTTTCTGCATGGACAAAAGATGTTTGTGCTCATATAAATTGCTCATCATACTATACTGAAGCAAGTGATTGATTTAAACAAAGTTTTCTTTGACATTGTCAAAGGACTCAGTGATTAGAAAAGATGATCATTCAGTCATAGATCAAAGCTCTAAAGCAAGACAAAACTCAATGCACTTTGACAGATTTGTAAAACAGGGTTAATACTCTCTGCAGGTTGTAACAACTATAAGGGATTAGATAATAAAAACGCGTGCAAAGCGGACTAGGCAAGTATTTAAAAAAAAAACTAAAAGATAAAACTAACTGACAAAAAAAAGACTACGTTTCGAAGTACCTTTTGCAGTAGGTACTGCAGATGCAGTATTTACAATTGTGTCACAAGATTCTGTAGGTCAAACTTTACAATTATGGTGTTTCTGAATATGTCGCAGCCTTGATGACGAACCAAATATGTTCTTATCTGGTGTAATGCTAATCAGTGGAGACAACACAGCTGCAGATTCTTCATATTTCCAGACGTAAGGAATGCTTTCGTATACATCAGGAGAAAAGCTCCAGTGACTAAACAGAACAGCTGACCACAAAGTCTCTATCACGAGATCCTCTCAGTTCAGAGACAACAGCAAATAAATCATAGATTATCATGAATGACGATATGATGGAGGTCAGTGGCACAACCTTTGGTCTCAGCAACAGATTGCATGTTTTAGGCATCCAAAGTTTAGGAAATTATGAGGTTCTTAAATTGTTTATTTATTTTTAATGTATTTGTGAAAAGACTGGTTTAGGTTTGACTTGCATTCCCTGCTGCAAAAGGAGACTACAACAAATCAGAAAAGGTATTTATACCCTTTAAACTTTTCCATATTTTATTACAGTGATAAACGTTCTGTTTGGATTTAATGTGAGACATTAAAACAGTGTTTATTTGTGATTATGGCTCCAAACTCATTTTACAGATGAAAATGCTGAAACTCTGCTGATTACAGGAAAATATGGAAACTAATCTAAAAGCTGATTCTATTCATTCATTATTTTCCCCCTTCACAATAAAATGTACAATCCAAACTGTATGAAGACACTTCAATGAACTTTGATGTCACCCTCAATGCACTGCCACCTGCTGGGAAGCTTGTGTAACTGCACCACGGGAAGAATTCAGTCCCACTGGCCAGGTTAACAAAAAAACAACAACAAAAAAAACACCAAAAACGGTGTCGCACTAATTTTATGAAAATTGCGATTATTCTTCAGGTCATTAAAATGGACGTAGAGCTTTACTGGAAATATGTTTTCAGTGTCGCTGGAAAGGAATATCTGGCACTGCCCATATATTCCTGCCCATAATTTCCCTTTTTCTAGTGCCATAGAGAAAAATTCTCGGTGATAATAATTGGTGTTATTATCATTAATTTGCTTGTACATGCACAGTTGAAATCCCGTGAGCTCTCTTCTTCTTGAAAAAGGAAAAGCTCCTAATTGACGCAGGTGATGATTGGCAACACCTGCGCGCGCGCTGATACGCGGGCGACACGTGCTCCACTTTCCTCGAGCTCTCTCCCGGCGGAGAGTCTCTCTTGCCTTCGTCTGACCGCCTCTTCTCGTCTGCGATGGGGAAACGAAAGCTGTTGTCAGCGGCTGTCGGCTGTTTCCGCGCTCTGCTGCTCCTGAGCCTGGTGTCCCGCGGCCCGCCGCCGGCGAGCCCCTCCGACGCGCTGCGCAACCTGAGCGCCCTGACCTACCCGTACAGCAGCATCCTCTCCCCGCTGCTCAAAGCCCTGTCGGAGCACGAGGGGAGCAGGTGGAGCCTGGACGTGAGGAAAGGGGCGAAACCCGAGCACAGATACGTGAAATATCTGACGGAAGTTTACAAGAAGTCGGCCAGGACGCAGAGGGGAGATGAAGTTTACAACACCGTCCGGCTGATCAAGCCCCAGGAGGAATGTCCTGCACAAAGCAATAAAGGTGAGCGGCGATGTGATTGGTTCTCGGTTTCAGTTTTGGGGCAGAAGATTTTTTTCCAGTTATGGTTTGGGCCTGGAGACCTAAAAGTGAAAACTCATTAGGATTACTGCTGAAAGAAAGATGGTCTGAAATGTTTGACCTATTTTGCTGTAGATCAGGGGTTCTTTAATATTTTTATAATATAGCAGTAGTGTTAAAGTAGCCTATAGCATACAAAGTTTTTCACCTACCTCCATTTCTTTGCTCTTGCTTCCTTTCCTTTCTCGTTTTCTTATTTTGTCTTCCTCCCCATACTTTGTTTTTTCTCATCCCTCTTTCGCTTCTTGTGTTCTGATTGTTTGGTCCTTCATGTTCATTTCTTGTCTTTCCTTCTCTCCCAAAAATGTATGTGACTGAAAATTAAGCCTAAAAAGTATGAAATGAGCAGACGAAAACAATCTGGAGGAACCATGTCAATATCTGCTGAGGCCTTGTAATGACTTTTTCATGATTCTTGAACTGGAAAAGCATCTAAAATGTCAGATACTGGTCCCAAAATGCAATTTTTAGGCTTATAACTGCAGGGGCTCCATGCAAACACCTATTCCACTTTGAAATGTACAGCTCTGGAAAAATCGAGACAACTTGAAATGATCCGATTTGACTTTTTATAGGTAAATGTTTGAGAAAAACGAACACTGTTCTATTATTCTATTAACTACTGACATGTCTCTGAAAATCCAAACAAAAACGAGAAATGGTCAAAATAGCAAAAATAGACGCAGTGCTTTCAGACGCACTGCTATTTTGATTAAATAAGTCATAGTTTGGCTGTAATGTGATGGATACTTTCTTAAGGCTCTGTGTAAACAAATTGGTGAATCTAGTCTTGTGCAGTACCTGGATCTTGTCTTCTCTTTCAGAAACTTTTTCACAAGATTTGTCCTACAGCCTTGATCAAGTAAGAAGAAAAGAGCAGCTCCTGAAGTCATCCCTGCTGTACAGTTTCAACCTTAACAACCTGGCAGCTGTCAGCTCTGTGTGTTACCTGAGCATAAAGGAGCATGAGCAGTCCAACCAGTGCCAGCTGTGTGCTGGGATCTCTCATACCCTGAACCTCACAGACAATACGCACAAGAGGCGACGCAGGAACTGGGTGGAAGTGGATGTTACCTTGTTTCTTCGACCTGTACAAAAGAGGAACGTAGGCTTTCTCGTTAACATCTCCTGTCCTGAGGAGCAAAGAGCTGGGCGCAATGGTTTCAGATCTCCTTTGGGATTCACCCTGAGGTCTCCTTCTCTGATTCTATATCTCAATGACACAAGCAAAGTCGCCCACCAGAGGTCACTTGCGAGTTCCAGTGCAGATGTAAGGTCACCCACTGCGTTAGACACATTTCAGAAGCAAGTTTTTAAATCGGCACAAAGGCATGGACAAAACAAGAGGTGGAAGAGGGCGTCTCCGAAGAGCAAGCGTGGAGATAAAAGCTTCGACATGCAGCTGCCTGAGCTTAAATCCAGCTCTGAATTCCCAACCACAGACTGCGCCTTGTATGACTTCAGGGTGCGATTCAGTCAGCTCAAACTGGATCACTGGATTGTTTTCCCACCAAAGTACAACCCCAGGTACTGCAGAGGCATCTGCCCAAGGACCATGGGCTTCATCTACGGTTCCCCTGTCCACACCATGGTGCAAAACATCATCTATGAGAAGCTGGACTCTTCTGTTCCCAGACCATCGTGCGTTCCTTCCCACTACAGCCCCCTCAGCGTCATGATCTTTGAAGAAGATGGCTCCTACGCCTACAAGGAGTTTAAGGACATGGTTGCTACCAGATGTACGTGTCGCTGATGCCAGTTCTTCTGAACCATCTCCATTTATCTGCAACTGACCACTGTAGATCGAAACTAAATTAATTCATAAAGCTGCAAAAAAAAAGTAACATTAAAAAAAATGTTCAGGAGCAGGGGTGTTAAAGTATTTTATCATCTGAAAGGGGACTGTGGTGTTTTGTTTTCCTTTTTTGTTAAAACTTGCAAATGAATCCTGTTCAACATACGGTTAATATAGTTGACTTGATCACTTGCAAAAACAAGTGTCTTTTTTTATTTTTGTCTTTTGCTAATTTTGTGTGAGTTGTCTGTCTTTATTTAATTTAATACAGTAATTTTCTTTTAAGTAGTCCTCTTCTGAAAAAAAAAATGAAAAAATAAAATCACACCCCCACTATCTCTGATCAAACCTTTTTACATATACTTTTATTCCTGTGATTACTACAAGGCACTGTCTTCATGATTTGCAGAGTGAAAGTTGTCAGGGTTTCAGTGTATATTTATTGTCAAAAAGTGCCTGTGCGAACTGACTATGCTTGTATTTATACTGGTTAAATGTGACTAATATATCATGTCTATTTATGCAGTCTGGATGAATTGATGGTCTGTGCTTGGTTTATGGATATCCAAAAGGAGTGAAATGAGTTGATATATACTCTGAAAAACAAAAAATAATAAAATATGCATAGACCTCTCTGTATGAGTCCATTAATCAAATGGTTGTTTTTTTTAATCTGTTTGCTTCTTGCTGTTATCTGCATCCAGAGAACTGGAAAGTGCATGTATCTAGTCTAGCTTATGATTATGGAAGGACACATGGAATTTCTTATAGAAACATTAGACATATGATATGGGTTCTATGTAAATGTAGATCTGTCTGCTCCAAATGCTGGAAATTGTACTCCTACTACCAAGTCTAGGGGTTCTGCAAGTAGCTCTTTGGACCAAAAATTATAAAGAACAAACTATCTTGGTTTTTGACACTTTCCATAAATGTTT